TCTTTCTGGGAATTGATTTATTACACATTGGGTTAGGTTTGCATTTTACCATGAGCATTAAATTTGTCAAATATAACCATCCATTCTTAATCAGACCCTAATCAACAGGCAGTGAAGATTATCTCATTCCTTCACACTTTATGTGAAAATACAGCTCTGATTTTTTAACCATAATTTAGAGATTGTTTGAAAAAAAGTAATACAACGTTGGAGTCACAGTTCCCAAGATCTTCTATGGGAACCCTGTTCCACATATTCTGTCTTCAGTATTTAATGAGGCTCCAGCTTTCCTTAACTATCCTGAATTGGAAGAGGAGGTTAGTAAATGGATGGATGGACTCAAAATGCTGTAACCAGACATCAAGCTGGCTGATGAGTGTCTGACCTTTATGTACTACAGTGTATATAGTTGGAGAAGATTGTCCCATCAAATACTACAATGTGTGTCTTATTCTTCAGTTTTTTCCTAGGTGCACAAACATCAGCAGTAAATACAGTTTGTGACTTATATAAACTGTCCCATAATAAACTAGTACAAAAGGGATCATGTACAGCTTGTGCTAGAAGCTTTTTATTCTTACTATACTATAGTGAATTCTGGATTTTTTTCTTGCAAACTGGGCTGAAGCAGAGCATATCTGTTTACAGTACTTACATAATACATTATACAGCAATATATAAACAACAAAATGTGTAAAATAAAGAATACATTATATTATACATTGATATGAGTCCTTTGTTTTAGAAAGAACACAATTCCTTGATTTGATATGATATCCTGTAGCATGTTCCACAAATTATTCAGGCTGTCTGGTTGCTGTTTTAACTTATGTGGTATTCATATAATCCCAGTACCCAATGATGATGTTCATATCAGGACTTGTTCAGACCAAGGCCTTTTCAACCATTTTCAGACAAGTGGTGAGTGGCATATTTTATGATCTAAGTACTTTTTCACTACGCTGTTCGCTTGGAGTCAGTGTGATGTTGGAAGATGCATCCACGCCTAATGAAATGTGCTTCTGGTGGAATAGCATGATGGATTAGTACCTGCTGGTACTTGTTTTTGGCTAGGATAAGGTGGAGTTTTTGTAAAACTGTGCCACCTTGTTTTGATTCATATCCAAGGTTCTATTTAGTTGTGTTACTTGGACTATATAATGTGCTTCCTATTCATGTGGCTTTTCATGTGGCATGTGGTCAATTTTTAAAAAGCAATTCCAACATGGGCGCTTTGTTTAAATAAGTCTGATAAACATACAAACAAACTGTGTTTAAATATGCCTGACAGCACTTTGTGCTAAAGTACTGTATTTATTTCTGTTTTAAAAAACATGCTTTACCTTGAATGCATACTGCTTGGATGTTGAGAATGAAACTTTCATATGGAGTTTTAACAAAAGCCTTCGGAAAAAATAAATCTCTTCACATGTTCTGTTTGTATTAATTACGGCTGATACTTATGCAGTCAAACTTAAGTAGATTTCTCTTCTATGAGATCAGAGGAAATCAATGCATATGGCAAAAACCCATATACGATCAGAAAGAACAAGCAGACACCATACACACAGGTCCCCCAAGTTGGAAAGGAATCAGTTTGAGGGAGTAGTGCTAACCACCAAGCTCACAGTGGTGTCCAAAGCACCATATCCATACCAAGTTTGGAAATACTTTACCAAATATTTTTTACCCAGCAGTTTGCAATACTAGAAGTGTATGAACAAGAGAACTATATGGTGGCCATTCTGATTTATGTAGGAAGCCTGTTTCTCTATATTTATTAATTGTATAGAATCTACAATGATAGCTTTCATGTTTGAAGTTAATTGTCCTATTTTTCACAGGATCGACTTGCATTATGAAATGTGATTCACCAAACAAGAGATGACATGTTGTACCGTAAGTATATAGGGTATTACTACAACCTTTGAGGGGCAATTCTGAAGTGCAGTATGCATATCATGGAAACTGCCAAGTGTCGAGAGAATTGGTGGGGCAGTGCCTAAGACAGTGACAGACTGCATTTTTTAATAAAATGGCATTCGTTTTGTCATTTAACTTTCTGCAAGAACCGCACATTGCCATATGTTAACTATTGTCATTAGAGTTGTCCTTACCATGTTTAGAACAACATGGTCAAGCAATTTTTGCCCAGGATTGACATTGAGTAAGAGGCCACATGGCAAGTAGCAGTTGATGGCCCAATGGGGGTGGGATAATTATGTCAATACTTGTGAGGTGAAAATCACAAGAAGCTTTAGCTATTTGTGACATATTTAAATCATGGTAGATGAAGTAATAAGTGTGGCAGATGTTAATGGTATGATCATTATTTGATGAAGAGAAAATGTTTGTGAACCCCGAAGTTGTCCATTATTCTCTTATATTTTTAAGATTAAATGTAATTAGATCCTGAAAGTTCTTTGTGACAACCACTGGCACACACATCACTCTCCCCAAGAAGGATGTCACCTTTGTGTTTTGCACTTTAACGTAAAATCATTTAATCTTTCAACTTTTGGACTGCCTCCGTGATCCTAGCTTTTACTTGATGTTTTGCTGTCGCACAGTCTTCCTCCTCCTTCCAGGTTTCTCTTCACTTGGTTCTACTCAACATCTATAGATCTTCCTATTTGGAACTCTCTTCATCCTTTGTCTTCATTTGACACCAAGCACTATGCATGACTAAAATAGTCATTTGATCTTCTCATTGATTATCCAATCTCCATCTTCACTAATCACCAGGCACATGACTAAATCTGTTTTCCCAATTCTTAATCTTCACTAATTCACTAACAATCAGCCACTAGAATATTCAATTAGACTGTATCCATGAGGCTCAATCTCAGTCTTAACTAAAATCACTTCAACAACCAGGCACTAGATTATCCAGATTAAATGTTGACTGAATACAATGTTGACTAAATTCACTTTCACTCAATTCTTTGTGCAACACTTTCTCCCCAACCCTTCACTCAATCTTCACCAAGTACCTGATCTTCACTTATAACCAATTACTCTTCTCATCACTACCTATAAAGCTGTCCCTGGCCAGACAAACCTCCATGTAGCCCACACTTGCAGCCTTGACACAGCAGCAGTCTGCTTAAGACTCTCTCTCTCTTCTCATAGACCACCAGTCTGTCAATTTATGAAAACCCAGGGAGTCCTCGGTACTCAACCTGTGCTAGCTAGACTACTCTCTCTCAGGAATAGGGAGATGGCATATTTCTACCTTGCCAAGCAATGCCCTACTCCAGGTGCCAAAGACTCCAGTCAGTTTTAATTAAGCAGGCTAGCTCTGTTCCCTAGCAACCAACTTCAATCCCATTGTGCCTGACAAACAAGCTATTATGCCTTAATATTCCAGTACCTTTGGTGCCAATTGAGCAAGAAACATACTGTAACGCAACGGGGGCTCAGGCGGGTGCCCTTGCCACATTAGGTCGGCCCCCCACCGTCGGGGGCTCGAACCCGTGACTCCCGCGTCACTCAGCAGGGAGCCAAAGAGAGATCTCTCCACAGCCCAGTAGCTGTAGTCCTGCTACCACAGGGAAGGGTGGTGACATCACCTGCTCTGGTACGCCGGCTCTTACACAGTGCCTGTCGGCCATAAGCATTACACCCTCCCCCGCTTAAATCACTGCCCCCAGTGAAGGGCTATCCCACACCACTTCTGACACCAATGTAACGCAACAGGGGCTCAGACGGGCACCCTTGCTACATTAGGTCAGCCCCACACCGTCAGGGGCTCGAACCTAGGACTCCCATGTCACTCAACAGGGACCCAGCCCGGTGAGCCTAATAGAGATCTCTCCACAGTCCAGTAGCTGTAGTCCTGCTCACAGGGAAGGGCGGTGACGTCACCTGCTCTGGTACGCCGGCTCTTACACAGTGCCTGTCGGCCGTAAGCGTTACAATACCTTCCTCATCTTCAGGCTTTTTGGGATAGCATTACACTGCCACCTTCACATTCATTAATCTTTTGTGTAGTCAATCCTCTTCCTAATTACTATGCAGCACCCATCTGTCCTACACCTACAACAGTCCAACCTATATTTTCTCAAGCATCCCTTGTTCACTGAGAACTGCAGGTCTGTAAGCCAGCTCAATTCATTACTTATGAGACCCCATAATTTCTCACTTCTCACTTGATTGAAACCTAGACACAGACTGAAATCCTTTTCCTCCTAGCTGCTCTTACAATTCTACACTGTGCCCATCCTATCAGTTGCTTCACCTCCTATGAAATCCCAGGTGTGCCTTGTTTTTAAAGTTTTGTTTACATCAACAGGTGACTTCCCCTCAAAGCCACCTCTCACTACCTTAGAATTATTATATAAAAGATTAAAATAACCTAATTGCATGTATAATACAAAAATATAACATATATTTGGATTGTTTGACAAAATACATCCCTTTTCTAAATGCTTCATCCAATTCAGGTTTATGGGAGTGCCAGATGAGAAAAAGTGTACATAAAGAACATATTTCAATGGGTTAAAAATAATAAAATAGCTTGATCAGTCACTTAATTTGGATAAATTCAAAAAAGGAAAGTGGATCGATCATCTTCTTCTCTTTTGAATGTTATATTTTAAAATAAGGAGATGTTATGGGTGGCACAGTGGCATAGTGACGCAGTGTTGGATTCCTGGGTTTAATTCCAAACCCGCGAGTGTCACCGAGGATGTTTCGGTTAAACCCCCTTCCTCCACAAAAAAAAACTCCACCCTGAATTGAAAGATCGGATAGAACTGGGGCGAATGGAGAAATAGTCCTAAAACACGTAACAAAAATAAAAAAGAAAGGTTGCTGTGAGATACGTTTAAATCTTGTTTTGGACTCCTTTTGAAATCTAATCGATTTAATGAATATAGACCCTTCCGAGCCACCATAGTTAATGACCGTTCAAGCCCGCCCTCTGCCCTGATTGACAAGCAAGTTGCTGAATGAGGTGGGTGCAGAGGAGCACTGGGGTTGTTTTTACATCAAGGTATCAAGTTTGGTTGGAAAGTAGTTTCCGTCGTTACTAAGCAGCAAAACTGAACTAGTGTTACAGCCTGCGGCAGTTGATAAGGTGTTTACAGCGAAAGAAAATATACTGGTATATGTCTGAATATCGAACAATGAAAGATATGCCAGATGTGACTTTGCATTGCTTTTATTTGAAATGTTACACTCACTGTTTCACAAACGGTATCATGCTTGTTTTATGAGATGTGCATAGATAAATTGCATTTAAACAATGCAAGGCACAGTATATTAGTTTACTTTTTTTATTTGTATAAATAACTTTGCTTATACTGTATTCTGTTCAATGTGTAATTGTGTACGTACTGTATCTGCGGCTAAAGTAAATTATTTGTTGTCTGTTTATAGCACTTCTATATAAGTAGTACACCTACCAATTAGATAGTAATTATGATGCAACAGGTTTGCCCGAGGTTGTATTTTTCTTTTGCATAGCTCTAGGGCATAAGAAACAAATCCTACCTTTTATTACAGGACAAAGATTTTGAGTAACCATTAATTAGTTGCTTAAATGACTTCAGTGTTTTTTTTTTTACAGAAATCTGAGACGGGACCCAACAATAGAAAGGAGAATTCTGAAGTGTCGAGTTTTAATTGGCATCCTTTCTTGTGATGTCAAACTGCTGTGCATAAGGACATGGCTTCTTCAAGGTAGGTGGAATTATTGGTTGATGAGGCAGTCAACATTTTTTAAATAACTGGGCCATATAATTATAAGAACATAAAAAAGCTTGAAAGAGAATGGAAGCCATTTAGTCCATAGACCTGACTTTGTTTCTAGTATCTAATTGAGCTGAATGTGTCATCCAGCTGATTCTTGAAAGAAGAAAGAGTATTAGCGTATTCCAGACATCCACAATCCTTTGTGTAAAAAGTACCTCCATTCTAAGTTTTAAAATCATTTCCCTTTAGTTTCTTTTAATGTCATCTAGTTCCACTGGCCGTATTGATAGATTTGTCTCTGTGTTTCAGGATTTTAAATGAATAAGTTAACCCTGTGGACTTCTTCAAATTCAGTGTAACTCGTGAAAATCCCCTCAATTATTAGGAGAACATGCAAACTCATTAACGTTAAGGACAAATATATCCAAAAGCATCAAACAGTTATATATTAAAGGGGGTTTACTTTTACAGCAGAGCACATCCTTAAGGTGTTAAAATCAGTTATAAGATACGAAAGCTAGTAAAGACTACCTACAGTGTTAGGGTACAATATTAAATAGGTGGATGCTACACATCGGTGGTGGAGGGGAGTCCCCATTACCTTCAAAGTGTTTTGAGTGGTGTGTCCTGATTATATAAAAGCGCAATATAAGTGTAAGTAATCTTTATTGTTTGCAGCTAGTGTTTTATTTTGATATCACTGAATTGGTATCCCAATTCTCTTTCAGTGATCTACGTGAGAAAATTAGAAAGAAGCGGAAGGCACTTCAAGAATCTTTGACAAGAGTTAAAGATGACATTGATAAACAGGTAAAATGATGATTGACTGAAGTACTGTAACTGATAATTATATGAAAATATACAGAGGGGGTAGCCGTTCAATTTGAAAAAAGGCAGAATGATAACTGGACTTACATGGCTCATACTAGGCATGTTTACTGACTGATGCACTGATTTCAAACTTCCCCAAGAGGTCTCTGTATTTATTCCTGGAGTCAGATGCTTTCTGACATTAAACAGTTTTGCTTTTAATTTCCCATAGCTTATGAATCACATAAAGGAACAATAATGTTCATTATGGCACTTCTGAATTTTTTTCTCTTAGCAGTTACTGTGAAAGATAATATTTTCCCTGTTACTGCTGTGGGCATTGAATAAGCCCCTCAACTCCACCCATCATTTCCAAAAATTAGCATTTGTTCTACAAATGCAAGATGTATCTTCTTATAAATTTAGAAAAGAAATCTAACTGTAAATGTATATTAATCCAGTCTTTTTGGTGAAAAGTAAAACGAAAATGTGTTCAGGACTGGCTCAGTAGACTGATAGCAGGTCAGATAACTTTTATCAAGGCAGCTCTGTGCAAGACTCAACAGGCCCTGGAAATGAGGTTTGTAGCCAAAGGAGGGAGGAACCTACTCCTCAGAGCTCCTTTTCACCATTAAATGCTGTGTTGTTTTGCTTGCCAGGCTTTGGTCACCACAGAAATGGAAATCAGTAAGGAAACTGAACAGGCTACTGTAGAGGTTGGTGTCTGTTCAGCCTTTCAGTTTGGTATGCTGTCTCTATAGATTTCATAAGGCACATGGATTGTACCTGTCCTTTAAACTATCTTATACTTTTTTTGCTTGTCTCTTCCGGATAAAATAACAACGCTAAACAGCACTACGGTATCTTAGTATTAACTGAATTCATTTGACTTTAGTCTAATAGGTAATTTCAAAGTAAAAAAAAAAGCATTAATATGAATGATCCCCTTTTTTCTTCAATGCAAGTGTGAGCTTGTTCTCTATGGTTTTACCTGAGCAAGTACAGGGTTACCTATTGTTCATGGCAATTAATCATCTGTTTTGATTTTAGGGAAAACTGTAAAATAGTGTAAAGAAATCCACAAGTCTGTCAAAACTTCTGATGGACATCTGAAAGCTATTCGTATGAACTGTCTTAAAAAAATATAACACATTGATTGATGATTTCCCCAGGATTTAATGTGTGCACTGCATGATACCAACCTTAAATAATTTGTCTTTTTGACAAAATTCTCTGTGGTTTGGGCTTTATTTTCAGGAAGATTGAAACTTATCAACATTCTTTTTAAAGATTCTTTTTATATTCTAACTCAGGAAATCGTTGACAATGAGGAAACACAAGTGGAAAATTTAAAAAGAACTTTGAAGGCGCAGAGACAGAGGAGAAAAAAGCCTGTAAGTGTTTTTAATTAAATAGATCACACAGTGTAATTTCAAATGTGTGATACAGATGTGTTCAGTAAAGAAAATACTTTTATTCTAGTTTCCATGTAAGTTATTGTAGATATTCAAGTATTTACTGACTTTCCTTTCTTTAAGAAATTTGTATTACATTTTTTTAAAATGGCACAAATATATTCACACTTTTTTGCAATTTGAAGCTCTCTTTTTTTTCTAAACGGGATTTTTCATTTCCTGGTGTCACTCTGAATTCAGCATTTGCACCTCTAATTTCTTAAACAGCTTCGAGTGTACTTGAGCATTCCGTTTAATGTTTACAATCATTATAATACAAAGGGATTTTGAAACACTATTTTTGAATGCTTTTTTCATACTCCCTTGAAGATAATATTCAATCCACACCCTATTTAGTGATAGTAAATCTAAAAATTAAGTCTTCTGACTTTTATCTTAGTTACAGGAGGATACAGCTGACATAATCTCTGAGGAGCCAGTGAGAGACCCAAGTGTTGTGGTTCATGGTCAGAGAAGTAAGTGTTTACTTAAGGTTTTCACATCAGATTTGGGGGGGGGGGGGTTGTTTTGTATAGTGTTTTCATCATATTTATTTCAGCTTCCCATCAAACAGAATAACATTGTCTTCAGTGCAGCACTTTGGTTTCTCCATCCTTCCATCTTTCCTTTCATTTTCTAACTGCTTCTTCCAATACAGGGTTGCAGGGGAGTGGGAGCCTATCACAGCAAGCAACAGACGCAAGACATGGTAGTATTTTTCTATACTTCTATACAGAAGACTATGAATGGAGTATAAATGGCGTTAACATTGAGAAGTCTTAATTCTCTTGCAGAATTTTTAATAGATGACAGACCTGGGAAAGTGTATAACATTTTATAAATAAAATGAACTCTTAATTTGAAACATTTTAATCTTATAACTCCTTGTAAGGTACAGCAAAACACTTACTAATAACCAATAAGTTTCTTATGAGACAAAATGTAATATACACAGTATCATTTTTAAAAGATGTAGTACCTCAAACATTTTTTGAAAGTTATAAAATATAACATTGAGCCATTACAAGTCTGAATTCTTACAAGGTTTTTTATTTACATTTTTCTAAGATCTGTCTTCCCATCCTGTGTCTACACCAAGTACCAGTTACGCAGAATTCTCAATGAGAGAACGCATGAGAGAGAAACTGAAAGCTGCCAGGGTAATAAAACCATTACTGATTACTCACCCTCTAAAGGAAACATTTTGAGAAGAAAAAATAATGTGAAGTGTAAAAAATATATTTTTAACTGTCTTTGCTTAATGTGTCAGAAGTCACTGAAAAGACACTAGTTTACAGACACTGAATTTATGATATTGTGATTATCTGTGTAGAATATTTATACAGAAGAAACTTACATCAGCTACAATGTAAAACAGTTTTTCTTTCCATAATAAATTGCTGTGCGCAAAAACAGAAAGGAAGAAAAAATATTAATCTTTATTTTTAGAAAAATAAAATCCTGTATTTCATATGTTTATAACATATGAAATACGTTATAAATTATATGTTTCATATAACATAGGTTATGTTTTTCATTAGTCCAAAGCAGAAAGCATTCTGCAGCAGGAAGACACTTCTGAGCCTACAGGTCGCCTGAGGAGCCTGAGAGACAGAGAGACAGTCACTAGATTTGACAAACAGGTGAATTATTGTGATACAAGTTATGAGTAATGAGCAAATCTGGTCTAACCTTAACCATATGGAATTCTATTCAATTTTCTCTCCAAATGAAAATGAAATGAAATGCAGAATACATGATCCTTCTATACAGTATATGATCTTCCTCAGTAAAATAAGTACAGTAGATATGTTTTTGTGCTAAGTTGAAAGTTGACAGGTTCTACACTTCTGTTTTTTTCTTATTCAAATAAGCTATTACAGTCCTGTTTCTTTCCCAAGGAATATAAAAATACATTTGGGGCCTGATGAATTCTACTGTTACACAGGCATGCTTTATATAAATTAATGCAGAGGCATTTCATTATGCAGTAAACATCTTTGTTTGTGCTCTTGTTTTTTTTTTATTTGAAATCTGGAAATTGCTAATATACAGTTAGATGACCACGAATTCAAGATAAACGGAGCTGATGCATCTCCTGCTGGTTCAAAAGTAAAGTTTCGAGATGTTGTGAAAAGAGTCAAGCAGAGGTCTCAGGTAACAGTATTCTTTCTTTTAGTTTTGTTTTAACATCTCTTTACAATTCAGCTGTTCCTTTCGATGCAATTCCCGAAATGAGTATGTATATACTGTATGTGTTATTCATGTTCTTATATTATTTGCCAGATATAGTATTTTACTGTAATGGTTTTGAAACGACATACCCAATATAAAGATTTCAAAGCGAAAAACCTGCCAGTGACAGTTTAAGGTTTAATAATAGTATAGGTATTTTAAGAGGATGTTTTTTCATTCTTTGCAGAGTAGAAAATCCTCCTATAAGAACTACATGAAAACCCAGTTCATTTGGTTTTGCTAATAGTCTTAAATTTCTGTTAGTGAATCCAAAGCATTTCTTAATTTATATATATCTATTATTCTTATTAATGTCAACTACAGAATGCATCTAAAAAAGGAACCCAACATGTTTTTTCTCAAACTTTTTTATTAAGTACCTTAGCTTGATTGTAGAAAGTTGCTTTTTTAATTTTAGTGCTGTCAGGTGATAAGTAATTATAACATTGCAAAATAAAATAATTTAAGAGGAGGAGAGGATAATCCAAAAATGTCAAATAAAGTCACTTGAAATTACCAAATTCTACAATACACTGGATTTACAGTGCATCTACTATCTGGTATCACAACAAATACTGTAACTTTTATGTGCACAGTAACATACTGTAGATGAAAAAAGTGGCCTTATGAGGTTTTTTTTAATATGGTTTTATGTTATGCAAGAAAATCCATTTCCTTCCATCCTGAACCACAGTTACACATGACAAAAAGCTCCATTCATTTTGTGTCCCCCCGGGTTCACTATGCTTATGTATGCTTCACATGCTTATGTTTGCAAACTTCCGCAAACTGCACTTTTATATCGGGTGGTTACTGTAGTCAGCCAATTTTATCAGACTACATCGGAATTAAATTCAAGTCAGCAGAACTAACCAAAAATAATGCCCAAGCATGAACAGCATTCTCTTTCCATCATGTCATCTTCATTTTCCTGTCTCTCCTGCACAGGTGGAGACTGGTTTCCCTACAGCAGAGGAAGCCTACAACTTTTTCACCGTCACCTTTGATCCTGAACCCCAGGAAGCCCAAGAGAAGGGTGAAAAGAGGAGACAAGCCGTGGGTGAAAGAGGTGGGGAAGAACAGGTGGTGGAGGAGGAGGAGGAAGACGAGACTGGGCTAAGCAGGGACCTGCAGGGGGAAGAGGAGGCTGAGGAGAAGGTGATGAAGATGCATTGTGTAGCTGCTTGAGCTGACTTTCTCCGTTTTATAAAACTGAAAAGCATTACAAAGAGCATATAAACAAGTCAAGTTTTCCACACTATATACTATAATATAGTTTTCAGAGGATTCATTAGATTTTATCAAAGGTGTGTATATACAAACTATTCATTCCTGCAGACTTTGACGATAAAAATTATAAATCAGCTGCTTAAAAGTTGGTTTTGTTGATGTTAAAATGAATTGTATTGCATTTATGTGTTTTCATAAGTGGTTTAGGGCTCTTGCCACACAGGGCCTAAGGATACAGACACTGGTGGGAAGTAAAGAGTGGGTAATGAGCTAGTGATGTGTGAAAATGGGAAAAAACATTTGAGACCCCCTCGATCTGTACCAGTTCTAACAACAGACCTCACTGAAAAATAATAAAACAGAAATATTACTTGCTGCTTAATCTGATATTCCAAGCCAGAATACTTTATAGTGTTTACCTGAATTTTAATTTCCAGGCAATGTTGTCAATTTTTCTATGAGGTGTTCCAAAGTATATTCAGTGGAAGACTAGAAATATCAATTTATCAGTATTCAGGATATCTGTACAATAATACAGTTTACAGTTATAAACTAATTTGATTGTGACACAAGTGTCCTTTCATTCCTGCCTAATTAGTTATGCATGAACTGCTAAGTAGTGATTTATTGGTAATAAGCTACTTGGAACACAGAAGTGACAGAGTGAAGGAGTGTGGGCTGCAGGTGTTTAATGAAAATGCCTTCAGATGAAGGTGCCGTAAGCCAACAGACTTTTCATTGTAAAACCTTACTTAAAAAAACGTTCTCATTGATTACTAACAAATTTAATAACAAAAGATGAAGGAGCAATACATTGAAATTAAAGTGAGCAATATCCTTATAGATGCAATAGAAAGTTTAACAAGTTTTAAGAGGGGCTTCTTTGGGGTACGTCACCAGTATGTGTAACAGCTGAGTGAAACAGACTCATGAAACAGGTACAAACCTTGGCCTGACACAGAAATTTGTCTTTAACTTTCATGGGTGTGTAATTAGATCATGGTGAGCTGCCAGTCACAAAGCAGATGATTTAACCATGGTAGTAGTAGTCCTTTATTATTAACTGCTTACACCAACACTCTTTTCTGCAGGAAGAAGATGCACCCCTTGTAAGAGAACAGGAAGAAGACCTATTCATAATTGATCAAACAGCATTAGATTTCCTGGAAGTGAAGGCTGCACAGTATGAGAGCTATAACAGCCGCCTTCAGAAGGAGAGTAAGCTGCTTTTCACACCAAGCCTTCTTTCAGGTATTTCAGACACTATTTTGTAGATCTTCATTGGCTGTTGGAATCTACTGTTGTAACAGAACGAATAAGGTTCTTGATCCCGAGATGAAGTAAAACAAATGAGTTTATTGCATGCAAGGAACAATAAAGCCGAAGTCTTGTTTCCCGCAAGAAACAACAAAACCGAAGTATTGTTCCCCGTACTGGTACAAACTTTTGGGTTATATAGTGTTTTCTTCTCAGTTTCTGACGTCACTCGGTCTGATGGTAAAGAGGGGGGTTCATGGTATTTGGCCAGTTTACGATGTTCTGGACAAATGGTCAGTTTAAGATTACACCCAGGGGGGTTCCTAGCTTGCATCTGCAGTCCTTATCAGTTAACCCCCTTTCCTGCCATAAACCCCTGCTTGTGACTTGGAAGTCTAAACCCCCTACAGAAAAGATTAAATTCAAACCCCCGTCTTCACATCTTTCTTCATTCCCCCCTTATAAAATATGGCATACGTCAGTGTAGCCTATTTTTATACATACAATGTCAGGGCAGATCTTTCCTTTCTTGGCGAACAGGTATGTATTGCCATGACATTGTACGTTCCACGGTTATGGGAAGATGTGATACATGTTTTTGTGCACGTGATGATTACAATTATACATATAAACAATACTATTCCTACAAATAAACACTGTAAAAAGGTTCCATCCCAGGCCCCAAACAAAGACTTTACCCAAGACCCAATTCCCCAATTTTCAGTATAATAGTCCTGATATTTCTGTCCCTCATTGTAAATGTGTTGGACCAGATCTGAGATGTGCTCAGAATTATCAGGAATATATGTGCAGCATTCAGTGCCAATTACTGCACAAGTTCCTCCTTGGGCTGCCAGTACATAATCTAAAGCTAGTCGGTTCTGCATGGCCACTGTTCTGAGGGCTACCATCTCATCATTAACATGAGGCTGTTAAATTCTACCTCATCTAGTCTGAAGGCTGTCATCTAGTCTGAAGGCCCAGGTTCTCCAGCCCAGGTGGGACGGACCCTACCAGATCCTGTTGACAACCAAGTCTACGGTTCGAGTGGAAGGAAAAGATCGCTGGATCCACGCGTCACACTGCCGACGAGCCTCATCCCCAGTTACAGACTCAGAATGAAATAATTTCTGTTAACATTACCCATTAACAGCCTTCAGACTAGATGAGGTAGAATTTGCTAATTCCTCTAAAGTCGAGGCCATTTGAATTAACTCTCGACTCAGAAAGTTCATGCCGGCCTGTGGAAATATTATACCTAAATAATATTCCTAATCAGCCAGTTTTTCTTTGTGGTCTGTGGTTAGGTCCGAAGGGGCTGTGGGTTTGAACACGGATATGAGGAACCACATATCCTAAATAACATGAGCCAGACCACTGGGCTGGCAACCATGGGTATGCTCGTTTTCCACAAATTAAGTATGTTCCGTTTGGCGCTCCCCATGCCTCTGAAAATAAGAAGCTTATACCGAATTGTGGGGTGTGTCGATCCCATCCTGGAATTTGGAAGGTAGAGGTGGATATATTTGCAGCGATGGTAAGGTTGCAA